TTTGCTCCGCGTCTTCCTGGTCTGCAGACCAGGGAGACCCAAGGTCCCGCAGTCCGTGTCCTCCGGGGCGAGAAAAGCCACGTTCGTAACTGCGGATCCGACATAAGTCGGGGACTGCCTGTAACTATTTTTTAAAAGTAGGATAAAATGGTTCTACTTTAGTGAATTATAGTCAACAGATTTGTAGTTCCTTAGAAGCTCTTGGTATGCATCTATAGGTGTAGACTTTCAGTTTATGTCAATAGCTCTTTATGCCTTGGGGGGGGGGGGGGGGAGGAGGGAGAGGATCGTTACTATGGACTTTAATTTAGAGAAATTTAGTGGCCAAAACTGTTAGGTGTTTTCATTATACACTTGCCAGTCTTATTTTACTATTTTAGCATGCTGATTATGAAAAGGTTTGAAACTCGTTAATTTCCAGCAAAGATGCTAAAACTACTTGTGGGTAAAAAAAAAAACATCCAGAAGTTGTGTATTTACCCTGTTGGTGTTTGCCATTACGTGCCTCCTGCATTGTTCAAGACAAAACATGTTGTTCCAGAGCTAAATATGCTGTTTCCCTTTCATGCCCCACGAGGACATATGGTGAGGACAGCATTATCTAGTGCTACTATCTTCCCTTAAGCATACCCCATGTATTCTTTGGAGAGTGCTTAATTTTCCAGTTCAGAGCATTATCTTTCAACGCTGTTTATTTCATCCACTCCTCAAATCAACCTGCTTCTTTTGATGTGTTATAGTTGACAGCCTAGCCACTCAGTTGATTTTAGGTCTCTTAACTTATGCTTTCCTTTTTTGCATGGGTGCACATATGGACTTAAGAAAAAAACATAATAAAATTAAAACATAATAAATAAGTTGTTACATTTTAAATCAGAATGGGTTTGGTGTTGGTATAAAGTAGGAATTAAGTGAAAAAATAATAAAATAAATTAAGTGTCTTAAATGTGCAGGTTACTTGTTGTGAAATGCAAAATCAACAAATGAGTTGATGCCTGGCTGGTTTTCCCCTCCCCCTTCCTGCAAGGTTGATTGTAGGGTATACTTGCAGGTACAGCATGAGGAGACATGGAATTATGAAAAGCTTCATTTATGAAGTTTAAGACAGTTAAACTCAAGTCAGCTTTCTGTAGAAGACAGATGAAATATATGTTCTGGAGGATTTTTTAGTCCAAAAAAGTTTTAAATGTACTAAGTAATATCTTGTATTTTAAATTTCTGAAACATCAGTGCTCTTGGTAGTCTGTTCATTTAATACGTAACTACTAAACTGTACTGCTATTTTGTCTTGCAACTGGCGGAGTCTCATTTAAATGTGATGAGACTGTCTATTACAAAAAATTACCTTAATGCAGGAGTGGGGAACCTAAGGTCCAGCGGCCAGATGCAGCCTCTGGCTTGTCTGGATCTGTTCCTTGAACCTCAGGGCTCCCCCACTCAGTACTGGGGAGCCTGACCTGGTGCTCCAGGTCTCGCACTCTCTCTCCACACCACACTTCTTTACGAACGATACAAATAGATAACAGTTCTCAAGATGTTAACAATGAAAGACCTTACCAATGCATTAACATTGACTATCACTTCTCTGGTAGGCAGATCACACAGATCCCAGTACAGCATCTGTGCTAAAACAAATTGTCAATGAGAGTTTGTTCTGGGTTTTGGTTTGGGTTTTTTTTTTTTCCACTTGTGGGTGGCCCCTAACTGTTTTTTTTTTCTGTAGGTTAGTGGCCCCCTACCCGAAAAAGGTTCCCCACCCCACCTTAATGTTTATAGTAGGCACCAAAATAGGGGCCAAATTCATCGACCTCACTGCCTGCTTTGGATCAATCCCTTGGTGAGGTTTTTAATCTGAGGGCCGGAACCTGGCCCACGTCAAATCTGATTTGTTTTGGCCTGGAGGAGAAAAGCAAATTTAAATATGGCCTTTGTAGATTCTACTAATAGTATATTGGCAGACCTAAGCAACTCCTCATATTCTGCCTTTTAATATTCAGAATAGGGCATATTAGGGATTGTTGGAGTGCAGCAGTACCCTGGCCACACATCCTGGCTGCTGTAATAGCCCTTTCCAGACCATAAGCAAACTAGGCTTATGTTAGACCAGCTTTAACTTATCCTGGGGTTGCACCTACAGGTCTGGGATTAGGTGAAAGTTAAGTTTGTCTCTTGCCTTCCACTTGGTACTATGCTAAGTACATCTCATCCAGAACCAAGGATTGGTCATAAGCGCAAAGTAGAATGTGATGTATAAATCCACATGGGGACCGATCTCAGAGAACATTTGGTTTTGGTGCTGATTTTTGTGTTGAAATAGAAGCAAGGTTACTTTTATAGCAAACACATCTCTCTTTCCATACCTTATTCATTTGAAAGCCATACTTTAAGTTTCCAGTTAATAAGGGCTCAGTGTGCAGAATATTTAAGTGTACTCAAGAAATTAGTTCCATAAAAATGAAAGACAAAAGACTAATTGAAAACAATTAGTGATTCAGGTTTAAGAACTTGAGACCTGTGTTGATTTTAAACAGTACTTTTAGGCCTTCTGGTATTGTCAGTTCCAACCCCAGACAGTGACGTCAAATGCATTTTTCATTAGCATTTAGTAATAATATTCAGACAGTTGGATCCTACTGTGTTACTCCATGTTATGTCTATCAAAATTCTATACTCATGTAAAGATGAAATCACAATATATGGCTGATGGAAAAATTAGATTTATTTTTGTCTATGATAACAAAAAACAAATATACTCTGTAACACATTTAGGAACATAAAAAGGTGGCAGCTAATCAGAACAGAGTATATGTAAGTGAGATACATACGGACTACAGAGGTTTGTCTAACAAATAGCTTCAAGTACTAATCTCCTGGAAGGCATTAAGCTAATATTGCTGAAATACACAAGTCTCATGGGGGTAGCCATGTTACCCCACGTCTTCACTACAGGGAAGATTGGTGGCTTCCACATTTGATTTAGGCTTTTCATCTGGCTAGGGTCTATTCTGAGGCATGTTGTTCTTTCTGAGATTAACTTTAAATTATCTGTTGTGCACCTAGATGGCATACTAACAGGTGCACCAGAATATTCTGAAATATGCACATCAACAATTTTTTATTCTTGCACTGGAAAAAACTGTCACCTAAGTAGTGCTGGTACAAGCTGTTCTAGCATCTCAGTCGTACATGCTATTGACTTCTTTTGCCACTTTATACTTAAGATGTTGCTGTAAAAGTGAAGTATGCCATCAAGCTGTAGGATGGGATGACTGCTTTGATGCTGATGAAAAGCTCAGTATGATTGTGTAATATAAAAAGTTGTAGATAGAAAGCAGTGTCAATTTTTTGTTTTATTCGGTTTGGATAAAAGTAAATTCTGATGTAATAAATATGCCTGCTAGAGCATTATGCACTCCACGTGCACAATATAAAACTTTGTGGAATGTAGAGTTTCACATCTTGGGCAGCATTTATGGTATTGTGTGAGCAGTTCAGAATCTCAACACTTAAGTCTGAAAAATTGGGAAAATTGTATATAATGTGAATTTAAAAAAATGAATAAACATACAGAATGTTTTCAATGAGTAAACTCACTTTTAGAAACTCACTGTACAGTAAGTGATACGTTGAAACTTCAAGATATATTTTTATTAAGCAATGTTATTTATTTACCTTTTTATAGAGGGCAGTGTTTTTATTTTTTAATTATTTTGCATCATTCTGGATGGTGACCAGATAAGTGAAATGTTCTAATTTAGGTTTTAGTTTTCAACAGACAGCTTAAATAAAATGCGGAGTATTCAAATGGATTATCATACTGCAACAATGTCATCTTCTCTTTTAAGGTTTTGATAGAGGGAAGGATGATGTGTCACAAAGTAAAGAAGATTCAGCACATTCAATGTCAAAAAGCAAGGTAAGCATAGTCACCTTTCCAAAAGCTAGTTTTGAAATATGCATTATGCAGTGGTGGAGTTCTGTATACTGGGTTTAAATGCAAGTGTATTAGTTTTAGTGAGTGTTTAATCTGGTAGATTGCTGTGCAGACTTCCTGAGAGGAGGATTACATTTTAATTAAGAGCATAGTTTCTACTTTATTAGGGTGACGTTAAGCATAAGCCTTTAGGGTAAATTCAAGAAATTCAGAGTTACAGTTTCTCATGTCTTTCTGCTAAAGATCCGATTTAGAAGAAAGCTCTTTGCAAAGATGGTCAGGGATCCAGTTTTGTGCACTGGGTGTCCCCTCTACCTCTGACTACTGGAAGCATGTTCTGGACTAGAAGGAATGGGTCACTTGATAATTACTCTGTTCTCTTCATTCCTTCTGAAGCTTCTGGCTTTAGTCCAATGTTTCTCAAAGTGGTCTGTGGATCGACTCTGAGAGAGCTGCTACCAGGTCATTCGCGGCTCTCCTTGGCTGCAAGCAGACAACTGCAGCTAAAGGGAGCCGTGATGCTCCACAACTGCGGAGCCAGTAAGTAAACAAACTGAAGGGGCCCAGTAGCAGCTTTCTCCGCATGGTTCCATGGCCCACTTTGAGAAACACTGCTAGTCCTTGTCAGAAAACTGTGGACTGGACTAGATGAGTAGTTGGTCTCAGTATGGCCTTTTATGCATTCTTGATGTAATTGTATAAGTGTGGATACTTGCCATTTAATAGAAATGCACAGTTGAGGCACCCAAACAATGCCACACTACAGGTTGACTCTCCCTGGCCTGGCACCCTCTGGATCTGACTAGTGTTTTCAAGTCAGGGTATTTGCCAGACCAGGGGAGTCAATACTTGACCCTCTTCCCTGCTGCTGCCTTTCCTCTTAGCCCACCCGCCCGGGTGGAGGCTCTGTTGCTTTTGACACTGGGGCTCCTGCTCAAGCTCCGGCGACATTCCCATCTCCTGGAGCTCTACTTCTTCAACTGTGGACCAGCTGGCAATTGCTTTGAGAAAAGTGGCAGTGCAAAACACAGACAGACACAGTTGAACAGATGAGTGGCAGTGACATTACTAGACCCAGATTTGAAGAAAATGCTGACGAATGTTGAATACCACATCACTGAGCCATAAAAAACCAACTGCTCCTTTACTTAGTCTTTTTGATTAACGTATGATCTATGAATAAAATAACTCTAAGAACAGCCATACTGGGTCAGACCAAAGGTCCATGTAGCCCAATATCCTGTCTACTGACAGTGGCTAATAGCAGATACCCAAGAGGGAGTGATCAGAAGCAGGTAATCCTCAAGTGATCCCTCTCCTGTCATCCATTTCCATCCCCAGACAACCAGAGGCCAGGGACACCATTCCTACCCATCCTGACTAATAGCTTTGATGGATCTAACCTCCATGAATTCATCTAGTTGTTGTTTTTTTTGAATCCTGTTAAAGTCCTAGCTTTTGCACATTCTCTGGCAATGTTATCCGTGTTCTGATATTTTATTACCAGCTAGCCTTTCCCCTTCCAAAGTCGTAAGATTATTTTAAAAGCTGGGGCAACAATTTTGCACGCCTGTAATGCCTGTAATCCCAGTTCCATTAAACTGGAAAGATTGCACTTTAAATGCACTAATATATCATTTGTAAATTGAATTTCCTTTACTTAGCTATGCTGTTCTGATATGGCCAAGATGAAATTGGGTTTTGTGTTAATATAGCCTCACTGCCTAGACTGAAAAACTTGGCTTACAGAGAGATCTACTATTCTACTAACCCAGTTCCTGTCCACATGTTAATTATGGCAGTGTATGATTGGTTATATTGAGACTCTATTATTGCTTTGTTGGTAACATTTATATGGTTCTAACTAAATTTGTATTCCCACCTCCTCCCAACAGTACGTTATTTTTTATATAGTTCCTTGCTAGATGGCTAGACGATAGATGACCGCAAACAGCATAGAGATCTGAAAAAAAAGTCCACAAGAACTTCATAACCGGGACCAAGTCATTAGTGGTTATTTGGAAACCTCCATCTGGAGTATTTTTCTTCTAAGGTTTCTGTCACTCTGCAGCCCATTTGTCATATTAACCTGCATTTAGTACCATGGTGTGTCCCCAAATTGGGAAGGTGTAGGATTCACATCAGGGTAAACCAGAAGTGACCTAGAAGCTTATTTAAAAGCAGATGAGTGCTTCCAGCCCTTCCCCTCTGCGGGAGGACATGGGGGTTCACCTGCTGGAAGGCAGTGCAAGTAGTGACAGCCTGGGCAGCACCAGCATTAATCAACCTCTGGGCAGCCCCCACACCCTGGGCAGGGCACACCCAGATGAGGGTGCAATGTCGGTTGTGTCAAACCGATCAGGTGGCTGGAAAACCCCACCCACAGCTGCACATCACTAGACTCCTGCCCCGGTCTCTGGAGCCCCACCCCTGCAGCCAAGACCCCCTGGGGCCTCGCAGCCCTTTGGCAGGCACCACACCCCTCCTCCTGCTGCGGAAGAAGCACACCAGCTTTGGTCTTGCCTGCCCACCAGCTCACCAAAAAGATGAGGTTGAGGAAGATGAGGACAGTTTTGGAGGAGGTGATCCTGCACTGCCCTGTCACTCTGGCTTCTTTGTTCTGCCAGTGCCCCAGCTCTGCTGTCCCCCGTGAGTTTCCCCTGGAGTAGCAGCTGCCCTTTCTGTGGCTCCAGCTGCCCTTTCTGCAGCTCCAGCTCAGGCCCTGTCCGGGGCTGCTGGAGGAGCAGCGACCCACAACACCGCTCTGGCTCTGGCCCCAACTCAGGCCAGCCACCTGCTACTGAGTGGCTCCGTTGAGGTGGGGTGGGCCTCAGTTTCTTGGTGTGGGCCGATGCAGGTGCACACCTTAGAGGGAACACTGGTCTCTGGGGCTGGCATTAGACTGGCCAGGGTACAGGGCGGAAGCTGAAACCAAAGCTAAAGCACGAGCTCTGCCATCTGGGACTGAAGACTGGATTTGGACTTAGACTTCAGTCCCCCTCCCAGACATGTATAGTAGTTTTTGTTGTCAGAAGGAACTTGAAATACAGTGAGGTCTGAGAACCTTTGTATGGCTGTTTTTTCTGTATTCTAGCACGTGCACAGCAAAAACTGCACATTTTCTTAAATACTGTTCTCCCTTTGGAGTAACACTTGACACATTTGTGAGATCCTTGGTCAGCATCATATTCATGGTTTGATCTCTAGCTCTGGATGGAAGGGGAAAATATATATATTTAAATGGCTATTTTTTTCAGGGCTTATCTCTAGAACTCCTGGCTCAAATGACCCTGGGCCCTCCTGAGACACACAATACTTCAAAAGAATCTATGCACATTGTTGTTAGAGGATTTAGGAAGGTGGACAGAATTTGTGATGCAATCTTAGCTATAATGCTGCTATTGCCAACTATATTGTCTACATTAGCCTGATCCAGTGGCTTTATGGTCTATTTACATTGAAAGGAAAGGGCAATTTGTGTGAGCAAATATGATTTAAGTATTTACTTATAGCTCATTCTCTATAAAGAGGATATCTTGTATTCCTTATACAAAAACAAAAGCTTTAATTTCTCTGTAAACTGAAAAATTCAATGCAATCTTAAATATGGAACTGTGATGGAATGTCCACAATAATGTTCTAGGTATTAATTTTTTTTAAGAACACCTCGGTGTAATATCCTGCCGCTCACAGTTCCTGTCTCCGAGCTCAAGTGCTCTGCAGCTGAGGGAATAGCCTTGTAATTCTGTGATGTCATAGTTGAGAAGGCTGGACCATGTTAGCCTTTGTACAGTTGCTTAGCTCTGACTCTGGATCCCTTCAGATGCAATGCAATATCATTCAATTCTAGTCCATACTCAGGCCGCACTGTTCAGGGAAAGGGAGAAAATACAGTTGGTCATTATCTAGCTCATTTATGGGTTGGTCCTGAAACTTCTCAAACCTCTATTTGGTGTTTAACTGAGATTATTTAATGTATAATTTAACTAAATTTCTGATCTTTGAATATTTATTCAGTTTATTTTCTCATCTTTCCATTTCAGGTTCTTACTCTTTTTTTTTTTTCCTGTCAGACAATTTCAGTGTTTCTGTCCTTTCCAGTTACTGTATCTAGACCTCAGTAAGCTGCAATGAGACAAAAGATGCCCCCCCCCACCCCGCACCACCCATTAACACCTTTTTCCACCTTCAGTTTAGTTTTGCTGTGGCAGTTGTCCTGACTTTATGGGAATAATCAGCTCCCTAGGTCTCAAGATAAACATTCACAGAGACAATTAGCTGTTCCAGCTTACAAAGGCTAAGTGGCTTCCCATTTGTCTAAGCATGGACTGGACCAACAATGATGAAAGTTACTCCCCATACAGTACAAGGAAGGTACAGCGCCTGCCTCACTAGAAGGTGCAGTTGGTCCTTCCTATTTAAAAAAATTTCTCTTGTCACTTTTATATGTGAATTTAGTGCTTAGGAAAGGTGTTTATAGTGCTTCCTATTTAAAAAAATTTCCCTTGTCACTTTTATATGTGAATTTAGTGCTTAGGAAAGGTGTTGGGTTGACCTATATAGAGTCCAAAGTCTTCCATTTGTCTGCCAAACAAGTTCCCGATAGATAGACTCATCACTGTGCCTTTCTAATGAACTTCAACCCTCACATGGAAGCCAAGTTTTCTAGTTCTAGGATTAATATGTGTTAGTGTGGGGCCTCACACACATTTTTGCACTTCAGATTGCATTCAATTCCTTTTGACAGGTAAACTGAAAACTTCAAAATGTTATTGTGGGTTTTGCTCCATTACCCTTTGCCTCTTGTTTTTTCCTGGCTCATCCCTCCACAAATTCTTGAAACAAAGTAATTATTTCTTCACTTTTTGCTATGAGATGAAAGTACTTGAATCCTGATGACTTAATAGAAAAGGATTCACATGTCCAGTTTTGTATGTAACTTTTGAACCTAAATGTTTTGTTTTGAATGGGCTTTGTTATGAACTTAATAAGATCCCTTTTCCCCTCATTTTCCCAAATGTAGATTGAATATAGGGAATTTCTATACTTACATATTTTAGACTCGGTCATTCCTAAGTGTTTTAGAAGAACTTGGGTGAATGAAGTTTGTATTTGTACCAAGACAAATGTCCATTTTCAAGGAGATTGAAGTTGCTTTATCATCTATGCAGCAAGAAAGCAATATTGTTTCTTGGGCATTTTGCTACAAAAGCATCTTTTGCCGATCAGTGGATCGAGAAACGCATCTCATTTGAAGTTTTATTTTTGAGTTGGTAGCAGATAACTGCTGAATAGTCCCCAGTGGTGATAAACTGGGTTGCAATAATAATGAAAAGTGATAAGTTGTAACATCACAGCAGACTTTCCTTAGAGATGGTCAGTTGTCAGTCTTTTGGCTGGATTCATCAGTGTCCTCTTTAGGGATGTAAGTGACTAGTCAACTAGTCCCTTGACTAGTTGCTTCCCTTCCCCTCCTCCCCCACTACTTCTCTTAAAGCAGCAAGGGTTGGGAGCAGGAGCTGGTGCTGTGGGAAGCTGGCTTAAAATCCAGTTCCCCCTACCGCTGTCTCTGTAGGGAGCGGGAGCGGGGGCGGGGGGGAAAGAGGCAGGAGAGAATATGGGGTAGCGACGACTGGGTGCGAGCTGGGAATCAGCTGATTCACGGCTCGCGCGCAGTCCCAGAGGCATGCTTTTTAAAAGTATGACGAGCTCTTCACACATTTAAAAATCAGAAGCATAGAGGGGGCGATCTGGCCCTAGCCAGGAATCTTCGGGCCCAACTTGCATTGGGTCCCTCCCCCTCCCCCTGCTGCACTTCAGCCTTTTAACTGTATTAAGAGCCTGACTAGTTGATTAAACTAAATTTAACATCCCTAGTCCTCTTCCAGATTTCTTTTGGCTAATGAGCGATAGATAAAAAGAAACATTAAAAAGAAACGATCTTTGAATCTTTTAAGACCTAACCAATAAAAACCTCTTGTTGCTGAGTCAGCACATTGACCAGCCATAAATGAAGGCTCCAGTTTTGTAAGCAGCTCTCCAATCTCAAGGTACTTGGATGCTCTACTATGATGCCCTTGATCTTCTGGAATAGGCAGGGGAGAGAAGAATAGTAATTAAACTCTGCTTGATCATGGAACAAATTTAAAAAGTCTAGTCTGAAGTAGTTACCTGACCCATGAAGGGAATCATGCATAAGCACTCCCAGAGCAGCTGGCACAAGAAGAGTTGTCAGGCTGTAGGTGTCAAATGTTGAAGAGGTGAGCTCCTCCCAATTTTAAAATCCCATGGTCCATGTTTCAGCCAAAGAGAGTGTTTAAAAAAATAAACCAGGCAGAAACAACTCCCATCTGATGATTGGAGGAGGTGAGGTAGAGTGAGGGCTGACAGCTTCAGCAGTGTTACTGAGCATGCTCAGTACAAGCCAAACAGAAAATGGGATGGAGGGGAATTGTCTCCTGCTTCCCCCACTCCCACTGTTTTTACGTTCAGCTCTGGTAAAACAATTTAAAACTAATCACATTTGGAACATCCAAAGTGTTCCTTAGCAACCAACTGCTCATTCAACACATTTACTACATGTAGTTGAGCTTCTTTTGGAGCACTCATGTGCAATAGTGCATTCCTTAAAGTAATGAAGCATAACTCTGTAAATAGCTTGGGAATAAAGCAGACTAAGAGAAAATATTTTATTTTTATTGCAGGAAGTAAAATGAAATTGTGAGGACAGGCATATCACTTTGTTTTGTCTGAGTGAAAAATTGTCCTAATGTGTCCAGGTATCTATCACCAACACTTATTTGTCCTTTATTATGTAAATTTCAGTCTGAATCCAAGCTTTACAATGGCTCCGATAAGGACATCTCCTCTACTGCAAACAAGCTTACAAAAAAGGAGTCTCTCAAGGTGAGTCACTTTTCAAAATGGGTTATTAACAGCCTGCAACTTGATTGTCTATCTAGATCACCTTCCAGTCAGACCTTAAAAGATAAATAGGGATAAGACCTCTGAGAGAGCGCTTGGAACAGGACTTTTTTAAAACCCAGTTCCGATACCAGCCTGCAAGACCCATTCTGACCACTCCCTCATTGTTTCTTTCATGTTTTTATTTGTCTTCTACCAGCAAAAGCCTTAGATCCAGGAAGAGACACATTCCCCCCGCTACTTAATTTTTTTTAATATATTCATATTCTATGCATATGAATGAAGTTCAGCCAATTTTTATCTCTAAAATAATAGACGTGAAATCTTTTTCTATCATTGAGTTCCAGTATTAAAGACCTTTTAAAGTATTAAAAACAAAAGAAAAATACAATTTCAGCAATGTAAAGCAAGTTTGACAAACTGATGAGGTATTTCTTTTCCTGAAAAATGCTGCAGTCTGTATTCTTTATACCTACCTAATCCTGCCCACAACAAAATATAGTTGACCTGCTCCCACTATTATGACACTGGGTCCTGTGGGACCCACAGGATCCTAGGGCTCTACTCTAAAAAATATCTATGACCATTGCTGTACAATGATACTAAGGTAACTTAGTTTCTTTGGTGCAATCTTTAGGATCACATGTAAAATGGAAAGCATGCCACTCATTGAATCACCAACATTTCCTTGTGTTACCTTGTTGGTGTTTCATCCATATATTGATAAGATCAGACTCTAAGTTTAAAGTCGCTGCCAGAAGACTTTTCAGCTTGAGGTCCCCAGAACCAAAAATAATCTGAAAATAATCTTGTTTGATTTGAACCCAAAACCAGTGTTCCCTAACTTGTCATCAAATAGAAAACTCAGATGTGTTTTTGAATCCATGAAAACATTGAGTCAACTTGAAAATAATTTTTCTGATCTTCATATGAGTTTGTTTGAATTTGGCTGCGTGAGTGCCCCTTTTTTTAATAAATTGACTAAAATTTGAAATTGAACTCTCCATTCAATTCAATTCAGTTTGAATTGAAAAGTTGAAACAAAATAGTCAAGATTAAACATTTCAAAATGGTCAAAGAAATGTTTCAACTCCTGAACGTTTTTTTCAGGTGAAACTATTTAACAAATTTCAAATAGTATTGGGTCCTGAATAATGTAGCGATGGAAAAAGTAATTCATTTAACAGCCCCAGTTCTTGAGGTCGGGTACTATGAAAAGAAAAGGGCATTGCTGATGTCCCCTGGGGAAAGAGGAGAGGAGTTAAATGCTTGAATTATTGTTTAATTCAGTGGAATTTTTAATATGCATACATGTCCCAAGCCCCACATCTGCGCAAATATGCTGTGTATGAGAACTTGAAATTCACTTATTTACAATTAGTAGTCAAACTGACTGGTTTACTTGCCTTTCTCATAAGAAGTAATGAAATAAATAGTAACATAGTGATAAATGATTGACTTCCGTTATTTAAAGTGGTGATTGTAACCTTTTTTACTTGACATTAGAAGTGGCTTTTCAGG